CCTGGACATGGCAGCTTGAAAAATGCACCAGGCATGGGACCAGCAGTTGGCATAATGACTATGTCACTGGACTCCCATGTAGTCAACCGCAGTTCAAGTCCCAGACCCGGTGGCTTAAACTCACACCGGGCGCATGTGCGTGCATGCCCAAGATCCTGAGAGGAGAATGGAGAAGGGATTGCAGCATGGCCATCCCCCCTGGGGGGTGATTTCTTGCTTTCTGTCTTTCTGGTGAGCGCACACATCCTGTAGCAAAAACCTCTCAAAAAAAAAAAAAGCAAAAAAGCACCAGGCATGTGTGCTTTGCATGCCCCAAAATCTCAAGGGGAGAATGGAGAAGGAATTATGGTGTGATCATTCCCCCACCCCAAGTGCCCCCCCAGCAGGTGTACGTGTCCTATAGCAAAAACTTTAAAAAAAAAATTGTTTCATAACAAAAACCCAACATAAATATGTTTTGTTATTGCTACTACTAGGATGTAGATGATGAAGAAACCAAATAAATCACTTTTTTAAAAGAGATTTTTGCTATAGGGCATGTGTGCTTGCCAGATAGACAGAGAGACAGAAAGTGAGAAATAACCACCACCACCACCACCACCACCACCCCCCAGGAGGGATGGCCATGCCACAATCCCTTCTCTATTCTCCTTTCGGGAATTTGGGCACACATGCACATGTAACCAGCTAGACCTTTAAGCTGCTGGGTCTGGGACTTGAACTGCAGTCGAATACATGAGAGTCCAGTGACTCATTATGCCATCCGCTGGTCCCCCAAATAAGTCACTTTTCAGAGTCAGATGAAGAGGCCTCAATACCTCTGAGATAAAGTGTCAACTAAAGGAAAGCCAATAAAGCATACTGCATCAGCCCAAATCACGGCAGACTTGCCCCATTATTCATCTGACCCAAATTATCACACCATTCCCCTCCCTCTCTCCTACAAAAACAGTCACCACTAATAAACTTGCTACTGTCAAAACCACCAAAGAACGGCACAATGGGTGAGGGGGCTGAAGTGGAGCCAGCTCTAATTTTCTGTTTCAATGCACTTTGCTAGGGTTCTGCATGTGACCGACTGCATCAAGGAAAGGGCAATGGATGTCACTGTCTCCGTTTTTAAGTTAAGCCTTTGCTTTCCACACTAATTTTTAGCTTTTTCATTGATTTCTAACATGTCTACAAGATATGAACAAGAACATGGGGGAAAACGGAGGCAAAAGTAGATGTCTGTACCTCTTGCTTCTCTGGTCACATGGCTCAGTGATGAGGCGTGTGACACACAAGAGGGAGCACCACTAGTGAAGGGGTAGAGTTTCCAACCTCAGGCTCCATCATTAACTAGCTCTGGGACCTTAGCAACCCACTTTAGGTTTCTCTCTTTCTTTCTTTCTTTAGTTATAAGAGACCGAAAGAGAGGGAAAGCTAGTCATCCTCCACAGGGTCTGATCTTGCAATCCTCCCAGCCTTCCCAGCCTGGGAAGGATTAAGGGCACATCATACATGCATCTGGCATGTACAAGTCCACCTGGGAACCAAACCCTGATCTTCACACGGCTGCATTACAGGGTGCCGCATCACCACCGTGCCACCAAGGCTTGGCCTCCACTCAATTTTTCTGAGTCTTGAATTGCTCATCTGTAAACCGAGGCAGTTGGATGAAAGTTGGATGATTAAAGTCACCTTTAATATTCTTTCCAGTACTGAAATTCTAGGATACCACTGTGTTTGAAGTTTTGTTTTTTATTATTATTGTTATTTTTTTATGCTGTAGGGCATGTGCACTCCCAGGAGAGAGCCAGAGAGAGGGATGGTGAGAAATCACCCCCAGGGAGGATGACCACGCTGCCTTTCTCCTTCAGCCTCCTTTTGGGACTTTGGGCATGCACACACACATGCCCATTGTGATTCTCAGGCTGCCAAGACTGGGACTCAATCAGAAAGTCCACTATGAGGGATCCAGCACCTTAACTGCCACGCCACCTACTGGCCTGTTACCATTAGTTTTTAACTGCTGAAAGAATAATGATGTGAGT